ATTTCTCTGGCTAGGACTTCTAATACAATTTTGAAAAGAAATGGTGACAGTGGGCATCACTGCCTTGTATTGTATTTTAGAGTGAACACTTTCAATTTTCCCCATTGAATATGATGCTAGCTGTGAATATTTCATATATGTCTAGGGAAATTAGAAAAATCAGAAAACAATAGAGATAGCAGCATAACAAAGAGACTAAAATATTACACTCATATGAGAGGGTTTAATAGATCCTGTCAGGTTCTAAAGAAGGTAAAAATTGAGAAAGTCTCGTTCACTATTATAATTAGCAATTTCTGGATGCTTTTAAAGGTTAAATTTATTTTGGGTCAAAAAAGTAAAAATATTAGAAACATTTTTCACTTAAGTGCAATGAACAATAGGCAAAAATATAATTATCAAACATTTTATTACTGATATGATGAGTTAGGTTAATAAGTTGACATAAGAAACACACATTTAATGAATTCAAAATTAATCAGTATCACTAAGTGATAAGAGGTCTTAAAGTTAGAAATATCAATACTTTGTAAATAAGATTAATTAGGTATCGGAAAACTAAATTAGGGAGCAGGGTACATGGCTCAAAATATGTCTAAAACCCCACATTCCAGAATAATTGAAATTCATATCCCAAACATTATTACTAATTTTTGCATCAAAAGAAACATAATATTAGCATTTACTTTCACAATATTTTGGTCCCATATACAATTCCATTAAAATATACTGGAGCAGAGAAACTGTAGAGAACCAGGGAACACTCAGCCAGTTGGTGCAGAAGAATATAGTTGAGGCACCCAGTGAAAGGTAAACCATCTCTGAGAGTATCCTGGCAAAGCCTCCAGGTCCAGGCAAGGTCCACAGAAGCCTAGACAACACCACAGCATTCAAGAACATCTGTCTGGCCAAGTTCAGCTACATGGACCATTGGGGGAAATCTGATGGTTGAGCTGGATGACCTCTTTGTGACAGGCCATAGTGTCTGCAGCCCAGATGCATATGAACAGCACCACTTCTATCAGGTGCAACTTTAGTGACAAGGCCAAGCACACAAGTCATGGGGAATTTCCCTCCAGAAATATGTGGCCATTCCCTTAGCAAGCCATGGCCCACACTCAGTTTCCTTCAGAGTTCTACCCACCCAATTCCTTGTCTACCTCCACATTATTAATGCTTAGCTTTAATATGAAAACTATTTTTAATTGTTCCTAAATGACAACTGATAGAAGACTTTCGTGAGCAGGAATCCAAAGACCCTAGTTTAAAGAATACGTATCAGATTCATTCATTTGATACTCAGCTATTACCTACAGACTATACTCTGATTAAATTCTTTGCAGCACCTGAGCATGTGTGCATGTGTCTCATGTGTGTTTGTCAGGCTAGGGATAGGAGTTAAAAATTTTGAGAAAAATGAAAGAATGAAAGGAGAGTTGTAATTGTTGCATATTAATCACAAAATTTTCTTGATAGCACACTTTTGCTCAAACTCACACTTTTTTAAACATATGTGTGTGTGCATGAATGGGAGGGAAATAAAAGATTTGGAGTTTGGTCTATGGCCATAACACCCTGAACGAGCCTAATCTTGTCTGATCTTGGAAGCTAAGCAGGGTTGAACCTGGTTAGTACTTGGATGGGAGATTTGGAGTTTGCAGTTTCTACTAAAACTATGG